CACTCGTCCTCCTCCTCCTGCCCTTCCTCTTTTCCCTCTGTCCATCTCTTCTCCTCCCCCCATCTCGACGACGACTCCTCGTCGTCCTCGCTATCCTCGTCGTCCTCCTCGTCCACATCCTCCTCCTCTCCATATCCCCCTCTCCTCACCATATCCCCATCTTCCTGCCATACGCCCCCCCGTTCCCCCTCCCAGAAAAAGATAAAATAATAATAATGCGAGGATCTGGGTCCTTGGAAGGCCTGAGGGGCCCCTGCTGCAGATGTGCCCGCCCTAAGTGAAGGCGGGCCTAACAAATCACGAGAGGCCCTAAGCTGTCAAATTCGTATTTGGGGTCCAGGCAGTTTAATCACGCCAGTTGGTTGAGGAAACACAGGCCGAGCAGCAAGGAAATTCCACGGCCTTCTAGGCAATTCCGAAAGTGCAGGCCCTGGGCGAGATTCGCAGCCTCATACACAGACAAAATTGCCTAGAAGGCTGTGAAATTTCCTTGTTGCTCGGCCTGTGTTTCCTCAACCAACTGGCGCGACTAAACCCCAAATACGAATTTGACAGGTTAGGGCCTCTCGTGATTTGTTAGGCCCGCCTTCACTTAGGAGGGGCACATTTGCAGCAGGGGCCCCTCGGGCCTGCCGAGGACCCAGATCCTCGCATTCCCTCCTCCTTTTCTTCAGTAGTCCTATGAGAAGTCCTTATGTAACAGGCTGCTTCCCTTTTAGCTTTCTCTAGTAACTTGAGATAATTTGGGGAACAGTCTTCATCAATTCCCCTCTTGTGAACCACCGGTCTTCTTGAGGATCAATGTGATGTCCGAACCGCACTCGGTATTGCATCTGTGGCTTTGGCGGTCGGCCCCTTCCTGAAGGTCTGGGCACAGGCATCAGCTTGTGCTCGATGATATCGTCAATGTCCACGTGTCCGTCCATGGTTGGGGCCAGCATTGATCTTCTGGAGGGAAACTGATCTGTGGCAGCGAAAGGTGCCAACGTGGATGCATGGAAAACAGGGTAAGTACGCAAGTGTGCAGGAATGCGAATCACGTATGAAGGCCCATCCGGTTGATCCCCTACAATGTCTAAGATCTCTCACGGCCCAAAGTACTGTGGCATCAGTTTACGTGAAATCCCAAACTCCTGACCTAGTTCAGATGACTTTACCCAGACTCTTTCACCTACCCGAAAGTTAAGAGGGCCGTCTATGTTTATTCTCAGATGCGATCATAGCATCCTGAGACTTTCTAATATGTTCGACGGCCTGCTCCAGCATCTGTTCATAATAAACAGCAAACGCTATGCTGCCAGGTGTTGCAGTGGGTTACCTTTCTGGTAGCAGAAAGTCAAGTGCAGTTTTGGGCTTCCAACCAAGGTGCAGCTGGTTGGGAGTCATACCAGTAGTACTATGCACATCATTGTTGTACAGGCTGGCAATGAGAGGTAACTTCTTGTCCCAGTCATCCTGACTTGGCTTAATATAATGCCGAAGCTGGTGCTGTAGTACCCGGTTCATCTGTTTTGCCTGGCCATTTGACTCAGGGTGATTCCCTGACGTCATTTGCAGCTTGGTACCCATCTGCTCAGCTGTCGCCTGCCACAGTTCGTTGGTAATACTATTGACGTAGGTAGTCCAAAATCTTATCCAGAAACAATTTGATGACATAGTCAGTTTTAGCAGATTCTGGCATAGCGAGAAGTCTTGCATACTTAGAAAAGCGGTCTACTATCACGAAGATGTGCCTTTTTCCATACCTGCTGGTCACAAGAGTACCCATGAAGTCCTCGGCAGGCCTGAGGGCCCCCTGCTGCAAATGTGCCCGCCCTAAGTGAAGGCGGGCCTAACAAATCCCGAAAGCGGTCTACTATTACGAAGATGTGCCTTTTTCCAGACCTGCTGGTCACAAGAGTATCCATGAAGTCCTCAGCAGGCCTGAGGGGCCCCTGCTGCAAATGTGCCCGCCCTAAGTGAAGGCGGGCCTAACAAATCATGAGAGGCCCTGTGCTGTCAAATTCGTATTTGGGGTCCAAGCAGTTTCGTCGCGCCAGTAGGTTGAGGAAACACAGGTTGAGCAGCAAGGAAATTCCACGGCCTTCTAGGCATTCCAAAAGTGCAGGCCCTGGGCGAGATTCGCAGCCTCATACACAGACAGTTGGGAGGCCCAACGGACTGAGGCCCCGTAGCCGCACCAGAGGCGCAGCATCCTGGGGCCTACCGGAAGCTTCTGGGCCCAGGCCCAGGCCAGCCAGGCTGCAAAGACAGGCAGGCTCTTTCCATATAGGAAAGATCTCGCTGCCCGGCGAGACATTCAGGCACTCACATGCTAGCGGCAGCGCTGCTGGAGCGGACGCTCGTGGGCTGCTGCGAGGTGCAAGCGCGTGCGGTCATGCAGGGAACAGAGCGCTGCTGAGGTCAGCGCCATAGCCCAGCCTCCATAGCGGGCTGAGGGCTTAGTTGTACAGTGAGGCCGCAGAAATGGTCTTCGGGTGTACAAAGGGAAGACGTGGGGAGTAAGACGAGGGAGAGAGAGAGAAGGATGAGGATGATGATGATGTGAGGGCACATACCTGGTATTGGCGATTGTCTGCATGGGCGACATCTTTAAGTACTTCGGAGGCTGCTGACGTCAACAGTTGCATTGTCAATTAGTAGGCTAGTTGTAGTTGTGTAGGGAGTAGGCTGGGTGCCGAGCCCCAAGTAGGGAGATAGGGACTGGATACATATGTTGGTGGTGGCGAGAGCAAGCTCTCATTGACATTGGTTTTCAGTGCCACGATTCTCCATTGGTGTCATATTGGTGCAACGCTGTTTTCTGAACACTGTGATAAGATCTGGCTTTCAATGTGATTGTGCAATCTGATTATTGTCATCTCGCTATTGCTCATTTTCCTTGCAATAATAAAAATAAAAAACCTGCACGATTTCGCACAGGCACCCCCCCCCACGGAACTCCGCACGAATGTGCGCCTCGTGCGGTTGCAAGTATGGTCTGCATTGTTCGAACGCAACCCCTAACACCTGATGTAGTTCAATTTTCCTTTTCTTTTTCTTTCTAGGGGTAGCCTCAAACATTACTGTGGCAATTTAGCAATGAAATTTTCTTTAGCCACCACTACTTCAGGGGCACTTTTCTCTGGGACTGGAAACGCCCTGCGCACCAAAGAAAAAGGAACCGGAGTGGCCATCTTTTTGGCTGGTGAGGCCAGCCATCTTGCTCCGAAGGCCAAGCCCCAGAAGTTGTGGCTGCATGCATGCAGCAACTTTGAAAATAAGGCTGGGAAACCTACTGGTGGGCTTAATGTATCATCTTATTCCGTCAGGACTTAAGCCCTGAACTCGTAATATATTTAATATTGAACAACAGTAGCATGTATTCGCCATTCGGCCACATGGGCTGGTTGGGGTTGTGCACTGTCAGGTTGCCGGTTAGTACAATATACACTAGTCACAGGGTCGGCTGAGTGGGAGGCCCCATTAGTGCTATGTCAGTTACAAGCTAGAAAGAACCTACCTATCCAGTTTCATGATCAGATGCATGCTATGTCAGTTACGAGTTAGAAAGAACCTATCAAGTTAGAAAGAACCTATCCAGTTTCATGAGGCTGCAACCATTTGCAGCTGCAATCAATCATGGCTGACAGCTTTTCATGCATGTCAAGATACAACAAGGAAGCAGTGCGTTATAGAAAGAAGACGATATGATGAAAGTCAGGTCATGCCTGTCCAAATCCACAAGTCTCCTGCCTTAGCTCCCCTCTGCAATACAACTGACTTTTGTTGATACGAGCTGTTGGCAACCACAGCTTTGGTTGCAGCAGATATGAGGGGAAATGTGTGTGTTTTTGAAGTAAGAGTGGGAAAAGGTGAAAAAGCGTGGGGAAGGGAACTATGCTGTCGTTTACTTGGCTCTGCTTTTTCACCTTTTTTGGCCTTTTTTCTTTGATGCCAAGGAGTGTGAGAAGGCTTAGGCAAGAAAGGGCAGGCAGCTGCATGACATATGAACGTGTGTTTTCATTAGGGGTTCGCATGACAGCTGCATTGACGGGATATACAAGAAAAGGCCATGATGATAATGCCAAAAGAGAGGACTCGATGCTGATTCTGTGCTTATGATGATGGTGATGATGGTGGTTCAGAAGTTCGTTTTTCCCGCTTCGCAAGAACGTGAAACCCTTCATTTTCCTTCCTAAAGAAAATGGATGACGAATTGACAATAACAATCTTACTACCAGGGAGGGGAGCCAATCAAAATGGCCCCAAGGCAGATGCAGCATTTCACATCAGTGCTATTGTGTCCTACATGCTTCACATGCCAGGTTGATATAATATCTATGTACTGCTATGGAGAAAAGGAAAGGGTGGGGCAGTCAAAAAGCCTCCACGGAAGAGGCAGCAAGAACCAAAGCAGCAACAGGAGCAGCGGCAGCAGGACGAGGAGGAGGAGGAGGAGGAGGACAAAAAGTCACATGCTTTAGGGAAGAACAAAAGGGGTTGAAAGAAACGTGACACACTTTTGGAGGGGCCACTTGGGGTTAGGGGAGACGTGGCAGGGTTTTGAAAAGGACATGAGGGGTCAGGGCATTCTCAGCATCATATGTTTTACGACATTCTCACCTAAACAGCGGACAAGATAGTTTTGTCAACATCACATTCCTTGTTTGCTACTGTGGAAGGGCAGGTAATATGAATATAACCTTCTTGAGTGATGTGGGTTTTAGAATGCTCGTGGATTTCAGGGCCTGCCCCAGGCATAAATTGGTGCCAGTTCTGCAGGCTCAGGGAACACTCACACAAGGACTTTGTTGACTGAATCTGACCAAAATAACAGTCAGGTACACCAACAAAAGTCCCTTTGCGAGTATGCCCTCAATGTCTGTGTGAGGTTACTGTTGAAGCGAGTCCCTGGAACTGTACCATGGCCATAAGGAACCTGAGAGACCGAACAGCATCCAAGCTTTAATAGTAAGCACCTTTCCCACAAACCCCAAGAGTTGTTCGCTGAAGTTTACCTTCTGCTTCTCCCAATTCTTCTGAAAGACCTTGAACATCTCCCCACACCTGTGCTGAGCTGCATTACACCATGATTGACCGAGACAGAGAAAAATACAGTGTAACTACCTTGCCCATCCATGTACAGGAAATCCATGTCCTATTCCCACAATTTGCAAACAGCGCCTATCTTACAGAGAATTCCATGAGAAAGGGGTGACCATGGCACAATGACTCAGAAGGTTTCAGAAAGGTTTTCACGCGTCCCAGCTATAGTAGCAGCGGACACATCCGGTCTATGTGTCCGCATCCATCTGTGCATCTGTGTCAGTCCAGGTATTGGGTCCCATCCCTTCCCTCTCAACCAAGCATCCGTGGCCATCCCCTCTGACCCTTTCTCAACCTAACCAACCTCCACCCGAATCCCCTAGTTTCTGAACAGGACTAGTATGGAGTGGCTATGCAATAGAAGGAGAGGATTGACTTTCATATGTGTGAACCTGGCATGGCAGGACTCAAGAATCTGAGAGTGAGCGGCAGGGAGGAGAAGGAAAGAAAGCAACTGGACCGGACTAGCACATGAAGATTCCAGAAGCAGCAGGACTTGCACGAAGAATAGAATGAGAAGTGCTGCTGAAAACGTCAACATAGATACTGTGGTCAAGTGATTTTGGTCTGAATGGAACCAAGCTGAATCGATGGCGGGAAGAGTTCAAAAATTGGAAAAAGAAACTCTAGCGCCAAAATGGGCATGGCACGTCTGAAAAATGCCTTCGACATCAGAACGACATGCCTCTCAAGCACATTGAAAGATCACAGGGAAAGGGAGCAATTGCTGGCATTCAAACATCAAAGAAAAATATTCTCCTCACAAAACAAAGTGTGATTGGTTTATGGAGTTTGCACCTATTTGTGTGTATTTGGTCATTAGTTTACTACTTTCTTTTATCTTAATTGGCCTTTCTTTCTTATTTGCTTCTTCATCCAGCCTAACTTATCCGGAAAAATTGTCAGCTTACGAATGTGGTTTTGAGGGCGGCCGTAAGGTCACCTATAGTTATCAAAGTGTGAGTGCTCTTGTAAATTATGGCCTTCCCCCGGAATGTATGCAATAACTTCATTTCGATTGGTTAATCTCACTTTTAGCTATTTTGCGTAAAGCTGAGTTGGGTTTTTTTGGTGTTCTTGTAGAAACACGAAGGCATACTCCCTGCTTTTGAGGACATTGATTTAAAGCTTGAGTACGTTGCGTACGTCGTTTTGATTCTCAACCATGACGAATTAATTGATTCATTGTAGGCATATGTGTGGTTTTGTTTTCTGTTAATTAAATTAATGAAATGAAATGCTGAAAAAGGCGGAGGAATTCTCTGAATACACAGCTTTCAGATACGCAGAGAAGAAGAGGGCAAGAGAACAAGGGTTGCCAGACAAGGACAAGACAGTTCTCAACACAAATGAATCATTCCAGGATCGGCGTCCAAAGAAATGGAAGACAACAAAAATACAAAAGAAGAAGGAACCTAACGCATATCAAGCAGAGGTTGAAGTGGAATCAACACGATCGCAGCTGGAAAAGGAAGTGGCGGTAGTAGTTGCCCAAACTGAGAAACTCAGGAAACTAAATGCAGCATACACCCCTGAGTTCACCACTATTCAGCACATAGCTGAAGGTAAGGCACCTCATGTGGTGGCGTCAGCCAAATCAGCGAGACTGACCCTCATGGGCACTCGGCCGCTGATCGCGGCCCAATACATGGAAAAGGAGAACGAATGGCAGATCGCTACAGACGTGTCCTTCACGATCCCACGGATCGACGAAGGACAGAATGTGACCAACATTCTTAAGGAAAAAGTCTTTGAGCGGTTCCCCCTGGCGGTTTTTGAGACAACAGATCCATATGCCTACCCGGAGGCCAGCTCCTCCCAAACAGATCAACGGCATCAGCAAGACCACCAGTTGGAACTGGAAAGGCATGCACCTTGCGCTTTCTCTCCCCTGATTGCGAAAATGCCAGAAAAGACAAAACTAAAGAGCAGGTTGATGTGGAGACCATGGAGGATTGTGACAGCAATTCCGCACAGCGTGCTGGCGGGGCCCCGAATTCCGGCGGAATTGCTAGCGACCTCGGTGGCAGACCTCCTGAGATCTGGCATTTTGAATAAGGATAGCGACTTGGAGTGGCGAGCCTTCGCCGTAGATCTGGACAGATACTACAGGGACGATGGGTCTGAGGAGGATATGGACGAGTGGTACGAAGAGGAGGACGTCCTGAGGCTAGACCTGCCCTTGGGGCACGAAGGCAACCGAGGGGGAATACAAGATTGACTACTCGGTAGGCAAGGCACAGCAGGACCCGTCGGGATATACTTCACCAGCTATGGATGCTAGCGACCAGACCACTAACTAGGGCAATATCTACCACATCCCAAGCCACATCCCCCTTCCTTTCCCTCTACAATGGAGGTCTTCAGACAACGCGCAAACGCAAAGGAAGGTAAGGTGGATTGGAAGACACAAGGAATAATCATCAGAAGTTGGAATATCAGCGGTTTGGGGAACATTATGGACAAAAAAGAGAAGATGAATGACATATCAAAGGAATCATGGACTACACAAATAAACCTGCAGACATCATAATGTTGCAAGAGAATCACCTTACCTTTTCGTTGGAGCACAACAGAATCAGGAAATTCTTTAAAAGGAAACTGGGAGGAGTCAAGGATGAGATCTGGTCCTCAGATAATTCCTCCAGCACGGAAGGAACAACCATTATCATACCTAAATCATCCCGCTTCTACAAGTCAGGGTCTGTAACGGGCAAAGAGGCAGACATAGAAGGGGGAAGATAGTGCCTCATGGACCTGAAATGGAAGGACGAAGAATTTAGACTGATACGCACCCAACAACTTGACAGAAAGGGCAGTCTTAAAAGCAGACATAGGTAAACTGCTCACACCATTGACATCATGTATTCTAGCAGGTGATTGGAATGCAACCTTAGACCCATATGTGGATCGTATATCTAGATCATCGGCGAACCAATCATCACAGGAGGCGATTCTCGTTCAACAACTGATGGTTGACCACAATTTGGTGGAACCTTTCCGCACTCTACATCTGAGAAAGAGAGCCTACACCTTGGTGAAAAAGAATCATGCCCATCATACTGCTCTCTCTTTCATCAACTATTTCTTGTTATCAGAAACTATGATGGGCTCAACCAAAAGCGTGGAGATCATACCTCTGTCACCCTACCTGGGCCTGCACCACAAAGTTACAAACCAATTGAACTCATCCTTAGCTTTGAACACTTCATCAAGAAAGGTTGTAGCTTTCACAAGTTAAATAACTCCCTCGTTTTGAGTCAGACCTTTCAGGCGGGTGTTCAAGAATGTTGGCAGAACTCGAGAAGAGGATACTTATGCAATCAGGACAGGTGGGAGTGGTTTCAAGAAAGCTACCTCACTCTATCTCAAACAGTGGCTAAAATTTCGAGGAAAATGGCCAATAATAGAAAACAAAGGAAACAAGCGCTGGAAAATGCTCTCAGGATATCTGAGATGAACCTCGTCGATAATTCGTCTTATGGGCTCTACAGAGACATCTTCGAAAAAGAGAGAGAAGAACTGGCAATATGGAGATGGTGGGAGTTGAAAGGCTTGCAAGTGAGAGCAAGGATGAATGAATACCAACTAAGCGAATCAATGACCAAACATTTCTTTGCAAGAAAAAAAGCGGATGCAAGGTCCAGTTCACTCGAAGGTCTGAAGGCTCTCACAACAACACCTGAAATAACTACGGACAGCGTGGGAATGTTGAACACAGCGAAGGAATTCTACGAGGACCTCTACCACAGAGACTCCCACACCTACCCCTCCGAGAACTAGAGAGGCACGAAACAAAATGTTACAGTATCTAGACAGAACAATTTCTTCAGAACAAGCATAATCTCTGGATAGGCCAATCACAATGGAGGAACTAGTAGTTCAAAGCATGAATAACAACAAATCACCAGGCATAGATGGACTGACGAAAGAATTTTGGGAAAAGTTTTGGCCACTCTTGGGGGGCAATCTGATGAACTTTTACAACGATAGCTGGTCTAAGGGCGATTTAGGAAACCTGACGAGTAGTAGTGTAGTCACGCTATTGTATAAGAAAGGGGAAAAGAAAGATATAAGAAACTACAGACCAATCTCGCTGCTAACTCTTCCTTACAAGATTATGGCCAAAGCCCTAGCTTTCCGAATCTTGGATCTGATAGACAAATGTTTTCACATTGATCAAATAGGTTTCATCACGGGAAGGTATATTCCGAATAACGTACTTACGCTTAACGAATCAGCCACAAAAGTCAAAGAGAAGAGGATAAACACAACAATCCTCTTCTTCGACTTTGAGAAGGCCTATGATAAGGTAAAATGGGCCCTAACTTCAAAAAGTGGGTGCGCATCCTGTACAATGACGCCACGGGCTGCGTCCAAGTCAATGGTTTGCTATCAGCGAGCTATTCGATTTCACGGTCGGTCCGCCAGGGGTGACCCTCTAACACCGCCAATTTTTCTCTTTGTGATGGAGGCTATAGCCTCATTCTTGCGCAAAGACCCCTCCATCCATAGGCTACCAGAGGTTAATGTGGGTACCACTCACCACCTTCAATTCCCGGCGGTAATAATGGTTGCAGATGATATGACAGTCCGCATCCGAGCATCGCACTTGTCTTTTAGTGCGCTGGTTAGGGCCATGGAGGCCTTCAAACTAGCATCAGAAATGAAAATCAACTGGAAAAAACAACCGGCTGGTGGTTGTCTGATGAGTCCATCCCTCAGCTCCAGGGCCCGAAGGTGGCCATGACGTGGGCAAAACTTGAGACACCGACACGATCCCTAGGTGTACTAGTGACAAAAGACGGGTTCGCCCCCCAAATGGCTCAGAACTTGCTCACAAACCAAATCAACAAACTGGATCGATGGGGAAATACGTCATGTCCCTGGTGGGCCGTGCGTTGACCATCAATACATTGATTTTTTCAATGATGTGGTACATATCATCAATCTGGACGGTACCGGATCACACAATCAAGGTTGTCAACAACAAAGCCAGAGCATACTTATGGACCGGCGATCCTAACAAAGAGAACTGCATACCAAAAATAGTCTGGCACTACATTACGAGGAAACTGGCCGAAGGAGGACTAGGCATCATTGACCCCAGACAAGAAACTGAGGCCCTACAAGTTAAATGGATTGTTAAGCTCTCCTCACCAGACCTGGACTAGCATGGAACAAACTAGCCTTGGACGGTATCAGGAATTTAACTCCTGTAGACACCCCAACAAACACGTCGGGTCTTTTCTGGGTAATGAACAAAGAATGGAGTCCAAATACAGGCCGAAGGAATCGACGAAAAGGGAGTGGGGTAAATGTAGACAGACCTCCCACACCCTACTAGACCGCCCCGCTACGGATATGGTGGGAAATCATGCCCAC